GCGATGGATCGAAAACCAGTGGTAAAATAATCGTGGAAACGACAGCCGAAACCAAGGAAGAGACTCAGCAAATTAAAATAGTCCAGACTACCCTGTGCGATGTGAAAATGAAATATCGGCTCATCGTTCGTATATCGTGTTGGTACAAAAAGCGAAGGGGTAGGTACCAATCACTATAATAACATGCCTTGCTGGTGGGGAGCGGGAGCATGCTAGATGTCAAGAATTTATCATTGAAATGTTAAAGAAAAAGCGTATTAAATCATTTCTGTGATGCTGATCGTTCCCGCCGGAACAACGGAAATACCGATTGCGGCTATTAAAGTTAAATGATGAAGCGTTCAGCGCTTATCAGCTGCATATGGCAGAATTTTCGAAAGTGTGCTGCAGATCCATAATCGTCGTTAGAGGGTTCGAGCCGAAGTGATTTTCATGTCATCCATGTTATATATTATGGAATTTGATTGAAATGATAGCAGTAGAACTACACCCTTGCTTCTGATTGTTTATTGAGCCACTCAGAGTTCGGTTCATACTTTCTGGTAATGTTTACGTTGCACAACGAGTGCTTGTTTCGTCGCTGCCTTACTTAAGTTATGTAGCTTTCTATTTTTCTAAAGTTTGCGTCATGATTTGACCGTTAATAGTCTGTATTTGTGTTATGATTGCGTTTAACAGTTTTAAGTTTTTGTTATTCAGATTTAGTCTGTTGAGCGCAGCGTAGTTTTCCCATATTACTCTTTGGTCCCTCATTCATCCGTACAATATGAAGTACACCGCTTATCATATACGGTATGCATACTTATTATTTTGACGGTTTCAATACCCTTAATATTTGTAGCTTTAAGCCTGATTGCAAATTGATTTCCCAGTGAAGCCATTCATTTATAAAATCTTCAAAGGTTTCATGTTCACGGGGCATTATTTTACATTAGTTAAAAAAGCACTGTTAAAAATGATGTAAAATGATCATAAGGTGCAAATAGGATGAAATAATTCTTGATATGTACTGTACTTCAAACTGATAAACATAGATATAATTCAATCTTGAACTTCCTTACCAACTCTTTAGTTGCTTTCTTTCTTTTAAATTCTTTCTGATGATAAGTTTTCGTCGTATTTGTTCAGACTTTCACATGCTTGTATGAAAGGCGCTTTAATATCCCGCTTCCAGTATGTTCTTTTTCGCTCTACTCCATTCGTGTTTTAACTCTCTCATGAGTTTTCAGTCGCTGCAGATTTGCTTAGGTATTCCCTTTTTTATGCCAATTATATCATTGCTCAGCTTTTCAGGCCGATTCTGTATTTAATCCAGTTAAAAACATTTCTTTCAAAATTTATAGCCTTTGCTGCTTTACACTTACCCCGCTTCTTTCACTCATATCTACGTCTTTTTGTTCTCTGGATAAGATGACCGATTGTTGGCTCTATCATTTGCATCCTACTAGCTGGTGATGTGGTATCGAAACCCATAGAGAATTGAAATTCTGCCATACTTTTAATAGTTCTTTGTGTGATGCCATCAACCATAGATCAGTAAATTAGCTGCTGTTCCGAGAACAAACTCATACTGGCAAACATCGAAACTTATTCGTAGAAATACTTTTTTCTGAGTTATACTGTTCTGACATAGGCTATTATTCGAATGGTTAGACTAATGTGTGAAAAAACGCAGTAGATATTAAAATTTATCGTAAATCCATTTTTATTCAGAAGTTCGTGTTATAAAATTTAAATAAATTCAACTCACCTGAGACTGAAATAAATTGAAGCGTAATTGCTTTGTTTCGTTATTATGGATGGACATATCGATACCTTGTCTGTTTGGTAACTTACATATTTGATTCTTGATGCATGGTTCATCGTATCACGATATAGAGACGGCCTAAACTCCTATTCTGTTATACGTTTTGAAGTCCCTACCATAACTACTTGTGCAGTAGTATAAACACTAGTCTGTAATATATCCAGGTGTAGCGTACTTAAATAATTCGTTGTTTCCTTTGCCGTTCACTCGATTCCTAAGATTTCTGTTCATAACGTCTCTTTTAAGGATTCATTTGTCCTGTCCATACGCCTGACGGCACTCCGTGCGGACTGCTGAATCATTTGGCCTCTTCCTGTTGTGTCACATATTCTGAATCGACGAAGGCGGTGTTGGAAGTGATGCCGCTTTGTGGTGCCATTTCTTGCAGCATGGCCACCGTTGCTAATGCTTTTAGCGGTATGTACTACAAGCATGCGTTTCGATTTCAGCAAATACGGCGAATAATTTATAATTTCCAGGAAGGGATTCTTATCACGTGATCGTTGATGGCCACGTAGCCGGCGTGATCGATTATGTCGGCGCCAGAAAGCTCGAATCATTATTGCGGGCAGATAAGTTGAAGTTGCACAGTGGAGTGCGAAAATTTGTCGAACTGGCGTTCATCGAACGGACTGCATACAAAGGCTTCTATCCAGCTTTCTACGTGTTCACCGATGCAGGCCGTATGATGAGGCCGGTGCGCAACCTTTGCTTTGACTCTCCTAACAACGTCGAATATATCGGCACGCTGGAACAGGCCTTTATGAATATCTGCATTTATCCGTCAGAAATAGAACCTGTTAGCTACTGCCTCAATGCTAGTCTTGTTGGACGATTCACGCTGTTTTAGGAAACTACTCATCAGGAAATTTCGCCGAGTTCCATGCTCAGTTATGTCGCCAATCTCATTCCTTATCCGGACCACAACCAGAGTCCACGCAACGTTTATCAGTGTCAGGTAGCATCGAAAAATTACGTGGAAGCACAATAGGCTGAAAACTTTATCATTGATCTTAGATGAGCAAACAGACCGTCGGTGTCCCCGTTCATACTATTCGTTCCCGAACCGATGGCAAATTGTACATGTTGCAAGCACCCCAGATGCCGCTGGTCAAGCCGTCGGCTTATGATCGGTACAATATCAACGAATATCCCCTTGGAACGAATGCTATTGTCGCTGTCATCTCTTATACGGTACTTTTGTTTAACGCTTTGCTTTATTATCATTGACGACTTGAAAATTTAGGGATATGACATGGAAGATGCTATGATTATCAATAAAGCATCGTTCGAAAGAGGCTTTGCTCACGCGTGCATCTATAAGACAGAAGTATGTTTGTGTAGGCATCAGTCTTATGCAGAATGTTGTAGTAACTTGTTTTTGCATGATAGAGGATCCAGCTCAATTCTGGTAACAGCGGTTTTGGAAAAGAAAAAAATTTCATATTTCACCGTGATCCTTCTATGCCAGAACTGTCAAATTTTTTGGATTGTGATGGTTTGCCTTACATAGGACGTCTCTGCATTGAAAAGGAACCCTTTTACTGGTATACCTTAAAATTTGTTGCATTTTGTACAGAATATCCAAGTCTGGTGTTTTTACCCTGTCGGTTTCAAGTACCTGAATCAGCGGTTGTTATTCAGATTTATTGAAGGCTGAAAGCTAAAATGAATAATTTTATTTTTTGCATAACGGTTACCTTGACAGGTTGTCTTTGAAGTTATCGAAGCCTAGCACGTCTGTATTGTATGTGCGTTTTCATGCAAATTTCGCTTTGTTCCGCTTTTCTTTTTCTTTATAATAGTTGATATTTCTTTCACACAGTTTTTTGTTGACTACTGTCCTTCTCGGCAAAGGTTAGCAGAACACCAGTTGTGGCATTTGTTGTTCATGCAACAAAAACAGCGTTTTCAGCCAAGCGTTTAACGAAGTTCGAGTAGAACTCGTTGTCCTTAACTTTTTTCAATTTTTGCTGAGAGAACGCCTTCCATCGTGTCGTTCTGATGCCCGTATCAGTTGTTCGATATGATCATTATGTTTGTGATCAGTCGTTAACTCTGAAAATTTTGCGTGTACCCTTGCGTTGAATTAAAATGGAGTAAATTTTAGACTAGAAAAGAAACGACGTTCACCATCACTGGTGTTTTGTTAGCAGGTGGTTTCTTTGCTCTTGTTGAGCCTTTGCGACTCTGCTAAATATGCTGCATTGTACTTCATGTTATCATCTGTTTTCCATCAGGTTCGTTTTATTGCATATATCATGAATTTGACGATTGAACAATTTTTCATAAACTTTTTATCAAACTGATTTGGTGCATAAATAATATTTTTTGGATGAATGTGCGGTTAATCGACAAAGAGTTGCTTTCTGATAAATTGCCGAACTCGTTGTCGAAAGATCGTCAAAAGATGATCGTTAAGTCGACATCTCTGAATCATCGTTTTTCATCGTTCTGAGACAAAACAAGGTCTATGTTTGAGACGAAAGTAGGATCTGTATTGCAGTAGATATTGTCATTACAAATGGTTTATGTCTTACCGAGGTCGACCTGACGTAGACCGCATCCACGCCATATGTTCAACTCCTATATTTGCCAACTTTCAGTCTTTACACTTTCCTTCAAGTGATATTCAGTTTTCCCCCCAATCACCTCCACTGCTCTGTATGTTCTCCAGTTTAACTGGTCATTGAGATTTGCCTTGTTATGTTAGAAGTTCGACTTTTGGTTTTTTAACAGGATTAATCCAAACCACGATGATTGCGTGTCTTGTGACTCATTTGACTACTCCAACTGACATGTTTGAGAACCATTCATGTTATGTTGAGGTTTTGGCCAGATTGTTCGTTCTTAAATACCCTTAGCTTCTTAAACCATGATCCTGAATGTTTATTGTAATGTTAATTATCTTCGGCTGTTGTCCACTTTTTAGAAGTGATGTTATGCTCAGTGCAAGTAAAATGCATTGCATAACTTTTAATTTTAATAGGGAATAGCGCAGCTGTAAGAGGTTGTTTTTTGCTGATCGTTGTTCTCTTGCATGTAGCGTTTTGGATTTGAACAGTGGGATGTACAACGTGAAGAACTATACGGGAAATGAAGAGATGTTCGTCGACTGCAT